AATTGTCTAAATGATCTTTGGGTTAAGAGTTTGATTTTTTTAATGTTGAAAATACTCAAATTTTCCGGCCTGAGATAATTTGGCCACACTTTTGGTCACGTACACATCAGGTTTGGTGCTGATATACAGTAAAATACAAACAGTAGCAGTTATCCAGATCATCTAAACCTTTCATCTGAAACCTGTGAATCCACTGGAGAAACATTAGTACCGCCTCCCACAGCACAGACGTTGGATGACGTTACCAACAGAAATGGCAGCAAAGTCACAACATAAGGCATAAGTTTAGATAAACTGTAGTTATCCTTTAAGATGCTGCTCGTGTGAACGTGGGTTCATGAGGCTTAACAGAAAGCTTCATGTCAGTCTGCCGTAGTGTTTGTCAGCCGTCTGATGGTACAGCATCCGGGGACACTGTTGGCTTTGTTCTTGCAGGGACTCCAAGAACGACTGATGGTTCTCTTCCCTCAAGACGTCCTGCTGCTGTCTGTTGACAACAAGCGGCTGAATATAAAATATGAGGTACTGTAAAATGACTCCATGGGAAAAATCCCTAATAACACGTCTTCCACCGCCGCGGCCGAACTCCACGTCCCAGTCAGCGTTACACAGCGTTTGTTCTTTTGACACATGACATATAGCCTGGGTGGAACGTTTGGTAACTCAACCTGCTGTGCGCACATCGCTGAATGCGTTTCAATCAGCAGCTAGAATAAAATGAAACACTTGCTGTACCAGGGTTGGGCAACCCGCGGCTCCGGAGCCCCACGTGGCCCTTTCACACCTCTGCTGCGGCTTCTTGTGGCTTTGGAGAGTAAATAATGGGCGTTTAATTTAAATGTATTTTATTTTAGTTCGTTAGTTTTTCAAATGTTATTCTAAATTTGAAGATTATGGTGATCTTGTAACTTTAAAATAAAACGTGATTAATTTTATATGCATCACACCTGCCGGCACACTCAGTGTTCCCAACTGGCTGACTTTCTCGCTAAATTTGTCGACTTTCCAAATCGTCTTGCCGACTTTTTTTCTGTAAAAAGCGACTAGCAACAAATCTAGCGGCTCTTTCTGGTGTTATTGGAGACTTTTCTGGTCTTTTGGAGACTCTGACGTGAGCTCCTCCCGTCCCAAAGCGCTCACAGGCGGTCAGCAGTCTGGTCAGCAGTCCAGCTGCAGGCAGCAGGCAGCAGGACAACCAGACGCCATCTTTACTTTTCTGCAGGTGGAGGATTTAAGTTCGGCTTTTTATTTCATAAATACTTGAGGGGGATTCAAATAGATGCTGAGCATTTTATTTTAACAGTAACCTCAAACCCAGCGTCTTTTTTTTTTCAGTTCAAAATGTTTTCGTTGCAGAAATAAAATGTTGTTTTCTCTGCAGCAGTTCATTGATTTCATAAATGCAACACATGATAGTTTTTTACTCATAGCGTGAAGGTAAAAACAATATATGAAGTGTAGTGATGCACCATATTAAAATTTCTGGCCGATGCCGATACCCGATATTAAGATGTCTGATATCGCTGATAACCGATTTTACCGGTTATGATAACATAACTTTCAAACCAGACGGCAGGTTTTGAGGTTCAGAGCTGAAATCCCTGCAAAGTGCCAGAAAACATATTTTTCCTCCATGTCGTCTCCGACAGGGCAGGTTGGCCCGACAGAGCATCAAAGCAGTGGAGAGGTCGGCCTCGCCTGGATGGCTGGAGTTCGAGCTGAGAGGTATTCTGCACGTGACATCAGTACATTTTTACCTGGATGCTCAACTCTGAGCTCGCTGATTCATTTCCTGTCATCACTGTTTTGTTTCAGGTGAGCTGGTGGAGCCTCTGCAGGTCTCTTGCACCTCCCTGGAGGATTACCAGAACTGGATGTTTCACTTACAACAGGTTGGACGGTCTTATCTTCATAGCATCTTATAGATCTGTAAAGAGCCATGTAGTAATAATAAATAGGCCTTAAAATGATGGGATAAAGATTTTAGACCTGAGAGAAGCTAAAGTGCTGGTACTCATGACGTGAGAGGCACCTTTTACATTTATCCATCCATCTGATCAGGTTCGGGTTGTGGTGGGAACGTTATAAGCAGGTCATTCCAGGCGTTCCTCTCCTCAGCTGCCCAGTTCCTCCAGAGGAATCCAGAAGCATTCCCAGGCCAGATGAGATTTGTTATCCCTCCAGTGAATACTGGGTCAAAGCCAGGGCTTCCTTCCAGTTGGGAGCGCCTGGAAACCTCTAAAGGAAAACACCCAGGAGGCATCATAGTCAGACACCAAACCACATCAACTGGCTTCTATTAAAACAAAGAAACGCTGAAGTTGCTCCCAGTGGCAGGCAGACACCATGCCCTGGTGTGTGAATGTGTGTGTTACTGCTATAGTAGTGCAGACCATTACACCAGTTAGCCTTCCTCTAAGGCTGAGCCCCTCCATAAATAAGGAAACCACTGCAGCCGTTTGTACTCACAAATCTGATTCGTCCACTGACTAACCAGAGCTCATCACTGTCTGAAGGGTTGGACTGATCAAGGGCTCGCCAGTAAACAAGCTGTCCAACGAATTAACGATGAAATCTGTACGCTGCAAGACAATCTGCTGAGCTGGCAGTCATGGAAGGGGTGAGGAGGGGTGCAGCATGGCCTGAGGAGGTCTGGGGTGGAGGATCCTCAGGCTGCACATCAATGGAGGGTGTGTGGAGGTGAACCAGGTCCAGGTCCAGGTCAGCAAGAGGCCGGGAATCCAGATGGGGAGCAACACAGAGACAAAAGAACAACNGAACTGCCAACCATGTGCACAACCCAACAGAACACACAGTTTAACATTCACACTGCACCAGAAACCAAACCCACAGCCGAGCTACGAGGCCACGAAGCAGACCGCTGAGCCACTGACTGCTGCTACATGACAAAACAAAGTTCAGAATTTCTCCTTAAAGTATTTCTAATCGTGTGTGTGTGTATGTGTGTGTGTGTGTGTGTGTGTTTCCAGAGTGTGGAGCCTCGGAGAAACCAGACTCCAGCTGTCGGTGAGGAACGGCAGAGATGAGCCGCTGCCGCCGCCGCCGCCACGCAAACCCTCAATACGACACCTGGAACCAGAGGTCACCATGTGTGTGTGTGTGTGTGGGTGTGTGTGTGTGTGTGTTACATAGGACGATGGTTTTGCATTTGTCACAGTCCGATCACGCCGTGTGCTTTGGTCTCGGCTGACACTGGACCACGTCAGAGTCAGACGTGAACACTAACAGTTTCCGTTCTGGTATTTGAGGCCAGACACACACACACACACACACACACACACACGTTACACACACTGTAGGAGTTTCCATGACACGCGTGAGATATTCTCCCTGTTTGGTGTGATTCAAACTTTACAGGAAACAAACAGGGAGGAAACACAGCAACACACTCAACCCTGAACTGCTCCATGTCATTTATTTGAACCTATTTTTATTTATTTTTGTCCTGTGGCCTCATTACTAACATGAAGTCCTTAACCTCTATGGAACCAGCACAAGCATGGCCGGGTGTAGAGAGAACTGTCATTTGTTTGCAGTATGACACAGTTAAAAGTCGTAAATCACAAAAAAAAGTTGCATTTCTTTTGATTGAATGGTCTTTTGACACNAAATCTGTTTTATAAACCTTGCTGTGCTTCATCATTGCTCTCTTTCTATCAGTTGCACATCACTCACTCCTTCCTCCGGGACAGCAGCAGGCAGTCGTTGAACAGGTGGAGGTAAACGGGCTTGGTGGGCAACTTGAGCTTCGATCCAGAGATGCTCATCGTCTGAGTGTCCACTTCCAGCAGCTCGCCGTGTTTCACCAGCCAGCGGGACTGAGAGATCAGTGGGAAGATCTGCAAAGAAAAGGAGGAACTTAGAACGCATTCAAGAGAAAAGAAAGAAAAGTAAATCCTGTCCCAAAGACTTCAGTCACCTTGCCCTCAAAGTGAATCTTCTTGTTAAGGTGGATGAGTTCCTCCATCCTCTTCATTGACTGCACACTGGAGTTACATTCTTTGATGATCTGAGAAAACACACACCAACACGGTTATTACTGCTGCGCCTCACCAGTGATGATTCAGGTATTCATCCAACTGGCTATTAGGGATGATAATCACCACCTTTTTTAGCTCATTGAAAGCTTTTGTGGCGGTGTCCTCATCTCGAGAGCCTGGCGTCGTCCTCTTCAGGATATTCTGAAAAATAAAGAGTGAATAATACTTCTAAGGATGAAACAGTGGCACCGATATCACCCCGTTTACAGATCGGTGTAACTGTGAACGTGAATGCTGCATTAAAGATTTAATCGTGCACCTCCACCAGCATTTTAAGGCGAGTGATCCTCTGAAACGGGAGGATGAGAAACGAGGTCAGAGGAAGTCTTTGGCAGATGGGGTCCTCCTCCAAGCGAGCCAGGATGCCGGGGAAACGAGGGTTTTCATGCCTGAGAGGACAAAGCAAAGACATTTTAAAAAATAACATTTTAATGACTTTTAAATTCCAGCTTGCTTTGTAGCAGGAGAAAAAAAGGTTTAGCCGACTACAGATGAACAAGTTAAGTCATGTAAAATACCAGCTGAACACCCTCAGAGGAGAAACAACTGGACTTTATGCACAGCAGGCAGCCAGAGAGACGTAAATGCACATTCAGTATACAGCAGACATGAGTAAACTCCTGCTCAATATCACTTTAATGTCAGAGGAGGAAGTGGAACAGCAGGATATTTGTTCTCATGTAAAATTAAAAACTATTGAGGTTTATTATATTAAAAATGCAGATGCCACAGTAGGAACTCAATGAAACAAAAGTCAGAACACATTTCATATTTATTAATTTAATACTTTAATACACCTTAGCTGTCGATGATAGACTCGATCCTGCTTGGCATG